CAGCCTCCCACTATAAACACTCACCTACCCAAAACGGCAGTGGTGCTAAGCTTGAGAAATCTTGCTTTTAACTTACTTTCTTAATATTTACTTTTACCTCTTTTTTTTAAAAAAATATTTATTTATTATTGAGAGAGAAAGAGACAGAGCATGTGCAGGGGAGGGGCAAAGAGAGAAAGGGAGACACAAGATCTGAAGCAGCTGCAGGCTCTGAGCTGTCAGCAAAGAGCCCGATGTGGGACTCAAACTCATGAACTGTGAGATCGTGACCTGAGCCAAAGTCGGATGCTTAATCGACTGAGCCACCCAGGTGCCCCTACTTTTACTTTAATTTACTGCTTCTTAATTTTTGAGTTTGGGATATTATCTAGCAACGTATCTCTGTGAAAGATAAAGATTTAGCTCATTTTCTTTCTTATCCTCCTGTCTTCTCAATGTAGTTCTGTTTAACTATGGGGAACTCATTTTTCAAATTTCTTATTATCAATGACCACGGTTCATTTTAAGCTTCCTTGCTTTGTATGGCTGAGGTTTGTATTTAATTGATTACTTTTCTTTTCCTGTGTACCTTTTTGTTTTCCTTAGAGTTCACAGTTGTCCTTTTTTTCATTGTTTATTATTTGCTTTATAATTCAGCTCCTATAAATTCTCTATTATTTGTCTACATCTCCTTTTAAATCTTCACATCAATTATTCTCCTAATTTTATTTTTCTACAAAAGGGGTTCTGGAGCCTTTTTACTTACTCCAGTCTGGACAAGTTGCTCTCTCTGCCTGGTATACATTTATTATCTTGGGATCTCCATTCACTGTTTTTGTTTTTTAATTTTAGTTAACATACAGTGTGATATTGGTTTCTGGAGTAGAATTCAGTGATTCATCACTTACATATAACACTCCGTGCTCAAGTTCCCTTTTTAGTACTTTTATCACCCATCTAGCCCTTCTGTCACCTACCTCCCGTCATCAATCCTTAGTTTGTTTTCTATTGTCAAGAGTCTCTTGTGGTTTGTTTTCCTCTCATCTCTTCCTCCCTTTCCATGTGTTCATCTGTTTTGTTTCTTAGATTCCACATAGGAGTGAAATCATTAGGTATTTTTCTTTCTCTGATTGACTTATTTTGCTTAGCATATTACATTCTAACTCCATCCACATAGTTGCAAATGGCAAGATTCTGTTCTTTTTGATGGCTGAGTAATATTCAGTTGTATACCACATCTTTAGCCATTCATCAGTTAGTGGACATTTTGGCTCTGTCCATAGTTTGGCTACTGTTAATAATGTTGTTATAAACATCGGGGTGCATGTACCTCTTCAAATCTGCATTTTTATATCCTTTGGGTAAATAATAGTACAATTGCTGGATCATAGGGTTGTTCTGTTTTTAGTTTTTTGAGTAACCTTTATACTGTTTCCAGAGTGGCTGCACCAGTTTGCATTCCCACCAACAGTGCAAGAGGATTCCCTTACTCTGCATCTTCACCAACACCTGTTGTTTCTTGTGTTGATAATTGTAGCCATTCTGACAGGTGTGAGATGATACGTCATTGTGGTTTGATTTGTATTTCTCTTGATGATGAGTGATGTTGAGCATCTTTTCATGTGTCTTTTAGCCACCTGGATGGATGTCTTCTTTGGTAAAGTGTCTGTTCATATCTTCTGCCCATTTCTTCAGTGGATTATTTATATTTTGGGTGTTAAGTTTGATAAGTTCTTTATGGATTTTAGATACTAACCCTTTGTCATATATGTCATTTGAAAATATCTTCTCTATTGCAAAAGTTGCCTTTTAGTTTTGTTAATTGTTTCCTCTGCTGGGCAGAAGCTTTTTATCTTGATGACTTCCCATAGTGTATGTTTGCTTTTGTTTCCCTTGTCTTCGGCGACGTATCTAATAAGAAGTTGCGTGGCCGAGGACAAAGAGTTTGCTGCCTGTGTTCTTCTCTAGGATTTTGATGGTTTCCTGTATCACGTTTAGGTCTTTTATCCATTTTGATTTTATTTTTGTGTATGGTGTAAGAAAGTGGTCCAGGTTCATTCTTTTGCATGTTGTCCAGTTTTCCCAGCACCATTTGTTGGAAGAGACTGTCTTTTTTCCTCCCTTTACTCTTATTCTGGGACTTCCCTGTTGTCTTTTTCCTCTGTGGGTCTGTTTCCTATACCTGTATCCTCATTCTTTTTTTTTTTAGTATTCCAATATTCCACTATGATATGTAGGTGTATTTCCTCCATTGTGCTGGATGAACCTTTTTGATTTGGAAACCTATGTCTTTTAGACTGAAAAATTTTCTTGAATTATTTTTGTTAATTAGTTCGGCTTCTCCATTTTATCTGGCCTTTTATTATTTGTTGTCTTTTATTTATTTGGCCTTTTACTTTCTGTCTAATGATGGTTTTATTATTTGGATGTTGGAACTATTGGAATGTTTGTCTTTTCTCTGCCACCTGCTATCTTTTTCCTTTAGCTTTACTTTCTGTGATATTTCCTCAACGTCATCCACCAATCTTTTCCTTGAGTTCTTAATTTCTGCAGTTATATTTTGTATATCTAGAAGTTTTGCTTGTTTTCTAAGTAGTCTTTTAAAGTAGATCCTGGAATATTAATAATTTATTTTTTAAAACATTTTTTAATGTTTTTATTTATTTCTGAGAGAGAGAGACAACGTGAGCAGGGAAGGGTCAGAGAGAGAGGGAGATACAGAATCTGAAACAGGCTCCAGGCTCTGAGCTAGCTGTCAGCACAGAACCCGATGCAGAGCTCGAACCCACGAACTGTGAGATCATGACCTGAGCCGTAGTCGGACGCTTAACTGAGCCACCCAGGCGCCCCGATAATTTACTTTATTCAGAGTCTTTTTTCTTTGTATATTCTATGTTTCCCCCCAAATTGTGCCCCTACCCTTTTTGTATTTCTTTATTTTGATCTCATTTCATGTTAGTGGAGGTGTCTGGTAATCTTCAGATGTCTGGTAATCTTCCCCACTCCCTTATGTACTAAGGAGGACTAAGGAAAGGAAATAAAAAATGAGCAGCTCTGACTTTGTGAATAGGGTTAGTTGACTGTGAACTTCACTGAGCCATTCACTTGGAGAAGTTCCCAAGTTTATACCTCTGTCTTTCCTTGTAGAGTGGTTTAATTCCCTAGAGAAGCTCTTCTAGTCTCTCTCTCTTTTTTTAATGTTTTATTTATTGATGAGAGAGAGACAGCATGAGCAGGGGAGAATCAGAGGGAGAGGGAGACACAGAATCTGAAGTAGGCTTCAGGCTCTGAGCTTGCTGTCAGCACAGAGCCTGACGCAGGGCTCGAACCTACGAACCGTGAGATCATGACCTGAGCCGAAGTCGGACACTCAACTGACTGAGCTACCCAGGCGCCCCTCTAGTCTTTAACTAGAGGGCTGGCTGCTAGCATTCTAATGACCAAGGAAGGAAGGAGATTTAGTATCCAGTATGAAATACTTTATTTTCCTGTTTTCAGTATGGTATCCACCCCATTCCAATGCCCACTCCAAACCACAATTATGCTTGGTGGTTCCCAGGTAAGAAATTCCTTCCTTCCTTCCTTCTTTCCTTCCTTCCTTCCTTCCTTCCTTCCTTCCTCCCTCCCTCCCTCCCTCCCTCCCTCCCTCCCTTCCTCCCTCTCTTTCTCTTTCTTTCCTTTCTTTTCTTTCTTTCTTTCTGTTTTATTTATTTTGAGAGACGAGGAGAAAAAGAAAATCCAAAGCAGGCACTGTCAGTGCAGAGCTGATGCAGGGCTCAATCCCACCAACTGTGAGATCATGACTTGAGCTGAAATCAAGGGTCAGATGCTTGACCAACTGAGCCACTACCCATGCGCCCCCACATAGAATTTTCTTTTATCCTTTAAAAAAGTAAATCTTCAATAAACCTAACAGCGTAGAGATGGAGAGGGATGTGACTGCTTCCAAGTCAGACTTTCAACTCAATTTTTAACTTTTTCTTTTGAAACTATTTCAGACTTTATTTTTACAGAAAATGTTTCAAAAATAGTACGAAGGGCTTCTATATGCTCTCTATGACCTATAAGATGCGTTTTAGAAGTACAGCTTTCTTGGATCATGTCCTCATAGATTCTAACTGGGTCATTCTAGGTTAAAGCACAGGAATATATTATTCCAGAATGTTGTTAAATAACAGTAGTGTGCCTCCAGGTTAAGGAGCCACTTTCTTAGAGACTGTAAAGATTAGGAAATATTTTGTCATTGAATAAAATTATTTATAAATTTAAAATAAAAGTTTTTGAGCAATTATAATGTATTAGACAATGTGTTGAATACTACAGATAGAAATGATAAACTGAGTAAACTAAAGTTGCTTATTAGTAAATAGGTACTACATAGATAAAGGCCAGCAATTATGATTCCCTGGATTAAATGCTGTATTAGAGCTACACAACCAAAGGAACGGTTTTCTTTAGCTGGGAGAATTAAGAATGACTTTATGTCTAAGGTAAAAATTTGAGCCACCATTTGAAACCTAAGCAGGAATTTCTCAAGTGAAAAAGTATGTTCTAGTAAGAAAGGGCAGCCTCTATAAATCAAGGAGTTATGAAAAGTTATGATGTATTCATTGAGTGGTAAAAAGATTGATGTAGTGTGGTGTATGTGGTAAGCAGTGGAGGGAACTAAGGTTGGTGAGATAGGTTGAGAGTGGATTTTAAAGGCCTTTTATGTAATCATGGGTTTGGATTTTATCATGCAGTCAATAGGAACAGTGGGTTAAAGTAATACGGGAGTCATCTGTTTAAGCATGATGGTTTATTTTTGGAGGAGGAAAATATAGATGGTAGCAAGAGATGTTACCTTTAATAAGGAAAATGAAAGCGGAAATCATTGAGGAGGATATCACAGCAATCTGATTGAGAAGTCATGAAGGTCAATAGTAACATCTTGTTAAAACCATCCAACAAAGAAATGGTTTAGTGTAGTCTCTAGTAGAAATAATTGTTTGTAATCCTTTTCCTTTGTTTACTTTTTCTAGGTTTGAAGTCCTGAGTTTTCTCATGTTGTGTTATAATTCTGCTATTGTGTATATGCCTGCTTCATCTTACCAATCTCTTTGTCGGATGGGCTCCAGGTGAGAAGAATAATTATCATTAGCCTCCATATTCATTTATTTGACAAATATTTATTGAGTGCATTTTCTATAGTAGGTGCTGTTCTAAGTTTTAATATAATAGTAAAGAAAACTCAGGGAGCTTACCTTCCTGTAGGAATTTTTATCATCCCTCACATATCATGACTTCTTGAAAATATTTCAGCATTAAAGAAGTATTTTCTAGCTGAATATCAAGTTAGGCCAAGATGCCTTAAATTTAGGTTGGCTTAGTAGTACACCTAGTCACTACATGGATGCCCAGTTTTATAAATTCCTTTGAGAGCTTTGAATAAATAGTCCTATATGTTGAGAAAGTCTAAAGGAATGTGAAGTTTTTCATTTATATAATCCACAATAACTGTGCTTTGAAATAAATTAGCAATAGCACTAATTATTTGTATGTCTCATTTCTATTTCTGTGTTCTAGTCTTTACTAATTCAGAACTTCTAATAATTTAAATTCAGCTGAGCTGAAATGTAAATGTCCACTATAGGAAAAAAAATTAATATAAATTAGTTTGGAGTCAGAGTCCCTTTTGAGTCACAGAATTTCAGTAATAAAAAGAACCCTGAGCTCATTCTGTCCAACTGATTTTTTTAATTTTTAAAAAATATTTATTTTTGAGAGACAGAATGCAATTGGGGGAAGGACAGAGAGAAAGAGGAAGACACAGATCTGAGGCAGGTTCCAGGCTCTGAGCTGTCAGCCCCGAGTCTTATGTGGAGCCTGAACCCACAAACCGTGAGATCATGACCTGAGCTGAAGTCAGATTCTCAACCAACTGAGCCACCCAGGCATCCCTCTATCCAACTGATTTTTACTTCAGGAAACTGAGCTCCCTGAAAAAGGTTAAATGCTATGAAGTAAAACCTTGGTTTGTGAGCATAATTCAATCCAGAAACATGCTTGTAATCCAAAGCACTTGCATATCAAAACAAATTTCCTCATAAGAAATAATGGAAATTTAGATGATTCGTTCCACAACTGAAAGATATTTATATAAAAATTATTATAATACTGTAATATAATAGAAAATAATAAAGAAAATACAAAATATAAAGAAAAATAAACTAACCTGCATTTACCTTTTAAAACCTTCATGGCTGCTGTGAGTGAGACAGGAGAGAGGAAAGTTATTATTTAGAATGACTTTCACTATCACTAATGGAACATAATATGTTCACATGGATGTTGACTCCAGTACAGTATTAATAAACTCTTGTCATATACTGTATTTAATGTAACTGGCAATAGGGCAGCAGAGGAGAGAGTCTGTATCTGTAGACAGCCTGACCTAAAATGAAGCAAAGCATTCATAAGCTTAAAAGCAAAGGACTGTCCACAGGTGCTTTGAAGTGACAAAAAATACACTAGTGCTAGTTGTGGGCATCTTCCAGTGTTCGGAAAAATCACTAATTTCTGCTGAACACCGCGGCTTGAGACCAAGCATGTGAGGATCGAGACAATCACCCACAATTCTGCAGCAAGAGAGAGAGAAGAACTGTTGGCTCAGTTGTGATCATGTGACATTTGGTGTCACGTACTACTTGTATTGCAAGATATCATTCATTTGTCAAGTTAAAATTTATTAGAAATGTTTGCTTCTCTGAGAAAGAATGAAATCTGGCCATTTGTAGCAACATGGATGGAACTAGAGGGTGTTATGCTGAGCGAAATAAGTCAGGCAGAGAAGGACAGATACTGTATGTTTGCACATATAGGTGGATTAGGAGGAAGTTAACGGAGGACGATGTGGGAGAAGAAGGAAAAAATAGTTGGAGAGATGGAGGGAGACAAACCATGAGAGACTCTTCAATGCTGAGAACAAACTGAGGGCTGATGGGGGTGGGGGAGAGTGGAAGGGAGATGATGGGCATGGAGGAGGACACTTGTTGGGATGAGCACTGGGTGTTATATGTAAACCAACTTGACAATAAAGTATTTAAGAAAGAAAAAAGAAATGTTTTCTTCTTGTGGAACCTTCGCAGAACATGTTACTCGCAATCCAAGGTTTTACTCTATTAGTTTTCTATTGCCTCATAACAAATTGCTGTGTACCATGAACTTAACAACTAAAATAGCACATGTTTATTATTTCACAGTTTCTGTAGGTCAGGAGTCTAGGCATGCATTAGCTAGGTCCTTTGCTTAGGGTCTTAGAAAGCTGTGGTTAATATGTCAGCTGGAGGTACAGTTTTATCTGAGGCTCAACTGAGGTATTGTATACTATTGTTGGCAGAATTCTGTTCTTATAGTTGTAGGACTGAGGGCTTCAGCTTCAGTCTTAATTATTCAGCCAGTAATTATTGGCTATCTGCTAAAGGCCAGCCTCAGTTCTTTGCCGTGTAGTCTTCTCAACATAGGCAGCCTACAACATGATGGCTTGCTTCTTCAAAGTGGAGAAAGAGAGACTCCAGCTAGACCTGCACTACCGTCTTGTTATATAAAATAATCACATAATCATGTACATGTAGTCATGGAAATCCCATCACCTTTGCCATATTCTGCTGGCTGAAAGCAAATCACAGGTCTGACCCACACTCAATAGTAGGGGATATATAGGGTGTGAATACCAGGAAGGAGGGATCCATTGCCCCGCAAGAGACTGTCCACCCACAAATGTTTTGCTCAGGTTCATGCTGTTGTGTTACTGGGAAGAGACTGTGGTCCTATTTATAACAAAATTGTCTTGCTAATTGGGGAAAGGCCAATCTAATTACCGTAAGTTTGATTTTGTAGATTCTCTTAAAATAGCTGTATTATTTTTACTTGCCTGTAATATGATTAATGACTAACAAAATTCTTGTCTCTACCTAGATACTGTTACCAAGAGAGTACACTGTTTAACACTTATTGCCTGTCTACAGATAAATTTATTTATAAGTGACTATTATTGATTCATTAAAACAATTCTGGGGACGCCTGGGTGGCTCAGTTGGTTGAGCGTCCAACTTCAGCTCAGGTCATGATCTCACAGTCCGTGGGCTCGAGCCCTGTGTCGGGCTCTGTGCTGACAGCTCAGAGCCTGGAGCCTGCTTCAGATTCTGTGTCTCCCTCTCTCTCTCTGCCCCTCCCCCACTTGCTCTTTGTCTCTGTCTCTCAAAATAAATTAAAGACCTTAAAAAAAATAAAAAAGAAATAAAACAATTCCTCCAAATCTCTAATCTTTGTGGCACTTAATAGTTTCTTAATAGCAAAAATGATGGCAGAGTTCAGTGGTCCTCACACTTTTGTTCATATATCCCCTAAAATTTTTTGAAAAACTGTGTAGCTGTCACATGTCTTAAGTTAACATTTAAAATTTTAATTTTTTCTTTAATAGTTGCAAATGTTATGATATCTGGTATATAAATATTCACAAAATAAACCAAATAATTGTTAGGTCAGTATTTTAAATGTTTATAATGTAAATACCCACCATTATCCATTTGAGGAATAGATGAACAAGCTTTTAATAATCTAACATTATTTATTTTCCTCCTTGAAATTGATCTTCCCTACAACTTTACCCATATAATTTTATCCAAATATAATGCCATTCTGTGCTTACAAGTCTTTCTTTTTTAATTTAACCATTATAGGTTTTATTTTGTGCATATATATTTTTTTAAGCAGGCTCCACACCCAGCATGGGGTTTGAACTCACAACTCTAAGATTGAGTCTCATGCTACACCAACTGAGCCAGCCAGGCATCCTTATGCTTACAAGTCTTTAATTGATCTCTTAATTGTATATTTCTGCTGCAAAAATATATATGTAAATTGAGATTTAAAAAAAATTTCCTGAGACCATAATGCACTAAGCACTGAAAAATTTCTTCTGGACTCACAATTATTCTAACAAACTAACCAATTAAAATAATATAGATACATTACAACTTTTGATAATTATTCAGCATAACTTTTCTGGAAGCATTTTTTAATGAGATGAAGACAGAGGCTTGTTTATGTCACTTTAATTGAAAATTGGCCTCACAGGACGCCTGGCTGTCTTAGCAGGTAGAACATACGACTCTTGATCTCAGGGTTCTGAGTTCTAGCCCCATGTTGAGTGTAGAGGTGACGTAAAAATAAAATTTTTTGAAAAGCCTTCACAAACATCAGTATTTTGAAATGTCCCTTTATTTGTTTTGAAATTTCTGTATCTCCCACTAATTCATCCTGATACAATTTGGGACATGTAAGAGTTACACATTTCTTTTGTAAAGAGGGAGAAGGATGACAGAGATAGTTAACTGAGAAAACTTGTTGCTTTTATTGATACAGTTCTCTGGAATGTATGCTTCATGAGGGCACAGATTTTATTTTTATCTTTTAGTCTATTCATACCTGTATGCCTAGGCCCAGGAGAGTGACTGGCACATAGCAAGTACTCAATAAATATATGAGGAATGAATAATTGAATAAGTGAATTCATGAAAGGAAAACTGTTTAATGAATCAGGAAATCATACATGGCAAATTCCACCTTTTCCTAGAGTTTGTGTGAGTGGGTTTCCACGGCAACACGAAAAACACTGGAAAGAACTCTGTGGTCGAATAGTATTGGATCCCGAATTCATGGTGCAACTTCTCACAGGGATTTATTATGCCATGTAAGTAGATAGACTGTAAAATTGATTGAATTCTTTCTGATGTTTGGAAACTTAATATTTCTCTTTTGTCCTTAGCGGTTGCACAACATCGACTCTTGTTCTTTGATGGACCCATTATCTTCTTTTTCTAAATTGAATTCCTTTTAGTAGTTTTTAAAAATGAATTATACACTTGTTATTTAAAAGCAATATAATAACAATTAAAGACAATTTTTAATTGAGATACAATTGAAATATAAAATTGTATGAATTTTAGGTGCATAACATAATGATTAGGTGTATTTTATATTGTGAAATGATTACCTCAGTAAGTTTAGTTAACATCCATCACCACACCTAGTTACAGATTTGCCCTCAAGATCTGTCCATGTTGTTGCAAATAACAGGATTTCTTTGCTTTTTTATGGCTGAATAATATTTACACCCCCCCCCCGTTTGTGTGTGTACACCATATTTTCTATTTTCTTTATCCATCTGTCAGTGAACCCATAGATTGTTTCCATGTCTTGCTTTTGTAAATAATGCAGCAGCGAATGGGAGTGCTGATATCTTTTCAAATTAAGTGATTTTGTTTCTTTTGGATAGGTACCAGAAGTGGAATTGCTAGATCATATGGTAGTTTTTATTTTTAATTTTTTTTGAGGAACTTCCATACTGTTTGCCATACTGTTGCTGAAACAATTTACATTTTCACCAATAATGCACAGGATTTCCTCTCTCTATATCCTTGGCAACACTTATTTCAATATTGTCTTTTTGGTAATAGCCATTCTTACAGGTATGAGATGATATCTCATTATGGTTTTGATTTGCATTTCCCTGATGATCAGTGATGTCAAGTACCCTTTCATGTACCTGTTGGCCATCTGGATGTGTTCTTTGGAAAAATGTCTATTCAGGTCCTCTGACCATTTTTTAACCAGATTATTTGGGTGTTTTTAGTGGTAAATTGTGTAAGTTCTTTACATATTTTGGATATTAACCCATTATTGGATATATCATTGCAAATACCTTTTCCCATTTAGTAGATTATCTTTTCATTTTCTTGGTGGTTTCCTTTGCTGTGCAAAACTTATTTTGGTGGAGTTTCAATAGTTTATTTTTGCTCTTGTCTCCCTTGCCTGTGCAGACATATCTAAAAAAGAAATGTTGCCAAGGCAGATGTCAGACAAATTACTCTTTATGTTTTCTTTTAGGAGTTTTTATGGTTTCAGGTTTCACATTTAGGTTTTAATCCATTTTGATGTGATTTTTTTGTTTGATAAGATACGGGTCCAGTTTCATTCTTTTGCATGTCACTGTCCAGTTTTCCCAGCACCATTTATTGAAGAGACTCTCCTTTCCCTGTTGTATAATCTTGGCTCTTTGTTATAAATTAATTGACCACATATGCCTGAGTTTATTTCGTGTCTCTCTTCTGTCCGTAACATACTGTTTTAATTACTGTAGTTTTAAAATCTAGTTGGAAATCGGGAAGTGTGTTGCCTCCAGGTGTGGTCTTTTTTTTTTTTTTCAAGATTGTTTTGGTTATTTGGAGTCTCTTGTGGTTCCATACAAATTTTAGGATTATTTCTGTTTCTGTGAAAAATACCATTGGAATTTTGGTGGGGATTATCCTGAATCTGTAGATTGTTTTGGATAGTATGGATATTTTAGCAATATTAATTCTTCCAGTCCATTAATATAACATTATCTTTCCATTTGTTTGTGTTTTTCTGTTTCTTTAATCTGTGTCTTATATAACATTTTAAGTGTACAGTATAAAGGTCTTTCATTTTCTTGTTAAATGTATTCCTATATATTATTTTAATGCAATTATAAATGGAATTTTTTCTCAATTTCACTTTCTGATAGTCTATTATTAGTGTATATAAGCACAAAAGATTTTTATATATTGATTTTTGTATCCTACAACTTTACTGATTTTTCTTATTCTAACAATGTTTTTAGTGACAGTGTTAAAGTTTTCTATGAATAACATGTATCTGCAAATAGAGGCAGATTTACTCTTGTTGTTTTGATTTTGAATGTCTTTAATTTCTTCTTCTTTCCCAACTGCTCTGGCTAGAATTTCTAGTACTATGTTGAATAAAAGTGGCAAGAGTAGGATCCTTGTCTTGTTCCTGATCTTAGAGAAAAAGCTTTTAGGTTTTCACCATTGAGTAGATATTAGCTGTGGGCTTGCCATATATGGCTTTTGTTATTGTCAGGGTATGTCACCTGTATACTCACTTTGTTGACTTTTTATCATGAATGGATGTTGAATTTTGTCAGATGCTTTTTATTGTACCTATTGAAATGATCATATGATTTTTATCCTTCGTTTTGTTAATATGTTGTATCATATTGATTGAATTGTAGCTTTTCAGCCATATTTGTACCAAGGGATAAATCCCACTTGATCATGATGTATGATCCTTTTAATGTATTGATAAATTTTGTTTGCTAATATTTTCTTGAGAATTTTTACATGTGTGTTCATCAGGGATATTGGCCTGTAATTTTCTTATAGTGTTCTTGTCTGGTATCAGGGTATTGCTGGCCTTCTAAAATGAATATGGAAGTATTTCTTCCTGTTGTTTGGAAGAGTTTGAGAAGGATTGGTATTAAGTCTTCTTTAAATGTTTGGTAGAATTCACCTGTGAAGCCATCTGATCCTGGACTTCTGTTTATTAGCAGGTTTTGATTAGTGCTTCAATTTCCTTACCAGTAATTGGTCTGTTCAAATTTTATGTTTCTTCATGATTCAGTCCTTGTAGGCTGTGTGTTTTTAGGAACTTCTTCTTCTAGATTGTCCAATTTGTTGGTGTATAAATGTTCATAGTTCTTTTAGTACTTTTTAAATAGGCAAAATGTAACTAGTCATTTAATTGGAGTCTGGAAGTAGGTCAGGCTTTCTTTCTGGAAAACTATGGTGTTTCTCTACATAGTTCATAACCTAGGTTTTCATAAATGCATTTCAATAGATTACCCTAAATATCATCATATGATAAAAGCCAATTATGTGAAAAGACATCTGTAAACTATTTTAAACATTGGTAGATAAACATTAGATTTCAAATGTCTTCATTTTGTACTTGTAACCAAAAGTAAGATAGTTTAGAAGTGAAATGAGGCAAATATTAATGTGAAAATCTTGTTTTAGAACCAAAATAGTAGGACGTGGAATAATAAAAATGTTCTTGAAGATTAGAGATATTTGCTAAAGATAGTAAATAATCTGCTTCTCTGACACAAAAACAGACACATAGACCAATGGAATAGAATAGAGAACTCAGAATTGGACCCACAGATGTATGGCCAATTAATCTTTAACAAAGCAGGAAAGAGTATCCAGTGGAAAAAAGACAGCTTCTTTAACAGATGATGCTGGGAGAACTGGACAGCAACATGCAGAAGAATGAAACTAGATCACTTTCTCACACCATACACAAAAATAAACTTAAAATGGATAAAGGACCTGAATGTGAGACAGGAAACCATCAAAACCCTAGAGGAGAAAGCAGGAAACAACCTCCTATCGCAGCAATTTCTTACTTGACACATCCCCCAAGGGAAGGGAATCAAGAGCAAAAATGAACTATTGGGACCTCATCAAGATGAAAAGCTTCTGCACGGCAAGGGAAACAACCCATAAAAACCCATAAAACTACTAGGCAACCAATGGTGGGAGAAGATAGTTGCAAATGACATATCAGATAAAGGGTTAGTATCCAAAATCTGTAAGGAACTCATCAAACTCCACACCCAAAAAACAAATAATCCAGTGAAGAAATGGGCAGAAGACATGAACAGACACTTCTCCAAAGAGGACGTCCAGATGGCCAACAGACCCATGAAAGGATGCTCAGCATCCCTCATCATCAGGGAAATACAAATCAAAATTTCTCTGAGATATCACTTCATGCCTGTCAGAGTGGCTAAAATGAACAAATCAGGAGACTATAGGTGCTGGCGAGGATGTGGAGAATCAGACACCCTTCTATACTGTTGGTGGGAATGTAAACTGGGGCAGCCCCTCCGGAAAACAGTGTGGAGGTCCCTCCAAAAATTAACAGTAGAACTCCCCTTTGACCCAGCAATAGCATTGCTAGGAATTTACTCATGGGATACAGGAGTGCTGATGCCTAGGGGCACATATACCCCAATGTTCACAGCAGCACTTTCAACAATAGCTAAATCATGGAAAGAGCCTAAATGTTCATCAGCTGATGAATGGATCAAGATGATGTGGTTTAGGGGCACCTGGGTGGCTCAGTCAGTTAAGAAGGTGTAGTTTATCTGTACAATGGAATACTACATGGCAATGAGAAAGAACGAAATCTTACCATTTGTAGCAATGTGGATGGAACTCCAGGGTGTTACGCTGAGCGAAATAAGACAGGCAGAGAAGGACAGATACCGTATGTTTTCACTCAGAAGTGGAACAGGAGAAACATAACAGAGGACCATGGGGGAGGAATGGGGGAAAAGTAGTTGAGGAGAGAGAGGAAGACAAACCATGAGAGACTCTTTAATACTGAGAACAAACTGAGGGATGATCGGGGTGGGGGAGATGGGAAGGGGTGTGATGGGCATGGAGGAGGGCACTTGTTGGGATGAGCACTGGGTTATATGGAAACTAACTTGACAATAAACTATGAAAGGAAAAAAAATAATCTGCTTCTTAACAGGTATAATGGGCAGTGGGACCTTGGCCAAGAAGTCCTTGATGACATCATTTATAGAGCTCAGCTAGAACTTTTTTCTCAACCACTATTGGTAAGATATTATATTTACTTTTTATTAAACATCTATACCTGAAAGGGGCACTAGTGAGTAAAGATATTCAGTATATAAAATATGAGGTAATCTAAATCATAGAAGGGAAAAGGTTTATTCCATAACATTTGGTTAACTTTTCGAGAGAAAACAAAATTTTTTTAGATCCTCTTCTACCACATATCAAAATAAAGTTCAGATAAATTAAAGAATCAAATGTTTTGAAATCCTTTAGGAAAAGAAAGAGGAAAAGTTTAGAAATACTCAATTTCTAGAGATGGAAGGATTTACTAAGCTTAAGGGATAGGACAAGTCACTCAAATAGTTTGGATTTTGTTTTTGTTTTTGACTACAAAAGCATCTAAATTCTTTATTTTTTTATTTTTTTTTAACGTTTATTCATTTTTGAGAGACAGAGACAGAGCACGAGTAGGGGAGGGCAGAGAGAGAGAAGGAGACACAGAATCCAAAGCAGGCTCCAGGCTCTGAGCTGTCAGCACATAGCCCGATGCAGGGCTCAAACTCACGAACTGTGAGATCATGCCTGAGCTGAAGTCAGACGCCTAACCAACTGAGCCATCCAGGTGCCCCCAAAAGCATCTAAATTTTAAACCACTAGTTTTTTTAAAAGACAAACTTAATGTATTTTGTACAAACTGAGAAAAAGATTCTCAACAAACATGACAAGAAAGCCTATAAAAAATTTTATACTCTTCCACAAAATAAATATATTTCCAAAAAGTAAACGGTCTGTTAAAAACAAATGTGAATACCTAGTAGTGGAGTAAGGAAGGCATTCTTTCCTTTACCAGTAGCAGTATAACATGATTCTGAACATCACTTTGCAGAAGCAGTTCAGTAATGTGTAATTTTCTTTAACCAACTACTTCACGTTAGCAACACATCCCAGAAAACTGCTTTGAATTTTTAAAATGTGTTATAAGCTCAACATTACTGTTATTTTTGATCGCAGAGGAATCAAAACAGTAGATGTTTCAGGGCATGTGGGTGGCTCAATTGGTTAATAAGTGTCTGATTCTTGATTTCGGCTCAGGTCACGATCTCATGGTCGTACAGTCGAGCCCCGTTTTGGACTCTGTGCTGAAAATGCAGAGCCTACTTGGGATTCTTTCTCTGTCTGTCTGTCTGTCGTTCATGTACATACATGTGTGCATGTGCATTCTCTCTCTCTCTTTCAAATTAAATAAATACACTTAAGTTTTTTTATTTAAAGATGTTTCACAGTAGAGAATGATTAGGTTTATGTTTACTTGATGAAATTATATATTCAAGGGGTGCCTGGGTGGTTCAGTTGGTTGAGCATCCAACTTCAGCTCAGGTCATGATCCCAACAATTCATAGGTTTGAGCCCCATATCGGGCTTTGCACTGATAGCACAGAGCCTGCTTGGGATTCTCTGTCTCCTTCTCTCTCTGCCCCTCCCCTGCTCATGCTATTTCCCTCTCAAAAATAAATAAACACTAAAAAAAAAAAAAAAAAAGAAATTTTATATTTGAAGATTTATGCTAAAGAAAAAATGCTACCTTGTGTAAGTGGTCAGGCAGTGTACAACTTTTTTAAATCTAGACAGACAGAGGCAACATATTAGCTCATGGTTGTTGAGGTGATTGAACTGTGGATGGTTGTTCTTTGCAAATTTCTGTGTTTTCTAGGCTTTTTGTTGTATTATAATGGTATTTTAAAAATATTACTTGTGGGGGCACCTGAGTGGCTCAGTCAGTTAAGTGTCCAGCTTTGGCTCAGGTCATGGTCTTGTGGTTTGTGAGTTCCAGCCCTCTGTCTATGCTGACAGCTCAGAGCCTGGAGCACACTTTAATTCTATATCTCCCTCTCTCTCTGCTTCTCCCCTGTTCATGCTCTGTCTCTGTCTCTCAAAAATAAATAAATGTTAAAAGAAATTTTTTTTAAATATTACTTGTGGGTTTTTTACTTGTAACACTTCAAAAGTACAGTTTTTAAAGCTGTTTTCTTTGTATCATTTTTTAATATCATAAGAGAAATATAAACTTATTAGGTAGCATTTACAATAATTCTTTGCTATTTGAATTTCCTTTTTTTCCCCTCAGATCAGCATGCCTAATTTTACCCTAAGGGTCACATTAAAATAAATGTATAAGAAGATAAAATAATTACTTCATAATTATAATACCCTGTATTTGTGATACTTTTTAAATTCATACTTTTCTCCTTGTAACAGTCTTATAAATTAAGTAGAGGTGGCATTTCCAAGGCAATATAGGTAAAGAGATTAGTAATCTATAATCTTAGATCATTCCTTTGTTGTGGGGGACCTTTGAGGGACCCAAGAAACAGCACTCCTTTTCTCTATTAAAATTTAGAACCAGGTGATAGGTAAAATAATTGGCAGATAGAGAAACAAACCTCATCTTTATTCCTGATAAAAACTAAATTGAAAGACTTAACTCCCCACCCCTCAGTCTAGATGTTGGAATAGCCTCCTGGAGAAGTTTGAGGTGGCAGAGCTGGCACATTTGTTTAGGTGGCTGCATTTTACTTGTCCTTTCCAAGTGGAGAGGAAGGCAGAAAGAAAATTCTCTAGCTCAAGATCTTTGCTAAAGTAGCACTTTCCAGTTAAGAAACAGGCACCAGTCAGGTACCCGGGGCTCATTCAGTTAAGGGCCTGACTCTTGATTTAGATTTGTGGGTTCAAGCCATATGTCAGGCTCCAAGCTGTCATTCTCTCTCTCCTCTTTCTCGGCCTCTCCTCCTGCTTGCCCTCTTGAGCTCCTTGCATGTGTGCCCTCTTTCTCTCTCTCTCTCTCTCTCTCTACACACACACACACACACACACACACACACAGTGGTGAGATAAAATGCTAGACATGTTTAGGGAAAATTTCTCCTTATGGAACCTTATGGAAATAAAGGAGTGGAGAAAAGGCTAATTTTTTTTTTTAACAGAGGTTAAAATTTGCATGTTACTTATCATCTGAAGAATCAGAAACTTATTCTAAATTTTCCTTATCAGGGTTCAAATGTTAAACAATTTTCTTTCTTTGGACCCTTTTCTCTGTGAAAGTGAACAACTTTAAGGAATCTGTGGGGTGTATGATGACTCATATTTTTTAAAAATAAATTCTCATTTTAAAAGCTTGCCTAAAAGAATTCAGAACAATGGAGGTACAAACTTTTCTGACATATTGTACTTTAATATTTTATAGTACCAGTTTTATTTATTTTTTTTAAATTTTTTAACGTTTTATTTCTGAGAGAGAGAGAGAGAGAGAGAGAGGCAGCGTGAACAGGGGAGGGTCAGAGAGAGAGGGAGACACAGAATCTGAAATAGGCTCCAGGCTCTGAGCTGTCAGCACAGAGCCCGACACTGGGCTCGAACCCACAAACCATGAGATCATGACCTGAGCCGAAGTTGGACGCTAACCAACTGAGCCACCCAGGTGCCCCTATAGTACCAGATTTAAATACATATTCAAAGAATTATGGAGCGGTGTCTGGGTGGTTCAATTGGTTAAATTTCCAACTCTAAATCTCAGGTCAGGTCTTGAGTTCAGGGTTGTGTGTTCAAGTCCTGCATTGAACTCCATGCTGGGCATGGAACCTACTTAAAAACATTTTTAAATAAAATAAATTTTAAAAAATTATGGAAACATGAAGTATAAAATAAGCATAAATTATATATTGAGTGTAAATAAATAGGTTCTGTATTATCATTTTAGGTTGCCAATGCCATGAAAAACTCATTACCATTTGATGCTCCTGATTCTTCACAAGAAGGCCAGAAAGTACTTAAAGTGGAGGTCACTCCAACAGTGCCGAGGATTTCTCGGACTGCGATTACAACAGCTTCAATCCGTCGTCATAGATGGAGAAGAGAAGGTGCGTACCAAATTCCTATAGCCCATTCATGGATTCTAGCAGATGTATGTTTTTATAGACTAGGTTAACACATGATATTATAGTACTGTATATAATTAAAGTAATTGTTTTGTTTTTAAATATAGCACTAGAAACGTGGTTTAAATGCCTGAATTTATTTGATATAGATAAATATTTTTATAACATATAAAGATGTTATTTAGACTGCTTTGTGGACATTAGAACAGAAAATAAAATCAAGTTTATTTTTGTCTTTTTTTGAACTAGTAATAACAATAGGAAAGAAGTTTCTTTAAACCTGTTATAATAGGAAAAAAGGTGCATGTATGAGCATTGTGGGAGAAAATTATATAACTGACTAAACCAGTGGTGAAGTACAGGCTATCTATAGAGCTGATTATTGTATTTTAGATTTTTGTCTTTGCTTTTCCTTTTTTCCTAAGTGCTGAATCCAGCAATATTTCGTAGGCATATAATAGTTGAATAGTCCAGCTGTCTTGCCTAAGAGATATTAATTGCTATTTTAATGATCCCTATTTTTCTGTCCTATTCATTTGCAAACCTCATATTGTTCATCTGCCACCTTATGTGTGTGCATGCTGTGCACACACATGTAACTATATAACTAGTGTTTGTGTTTTTATCATATCCATATATACATTCTCTTATCTGCCTGGGGCAAAATGCTCAAAAAGGAATAGAGCAGCACAAAAGCACTAAAATTTTATATGTTGAATCCCAGATGGCTTTGACTTCTCAAACGAGGCTGACTCGAGTATTCCTGGCTCCCCGATCCAACACGGCTCCACTGACCTAGGGATCAAACGTGTGCAAGAGGGGGAGGTGCTGGTGCGCAGGACCCCTGAGCACGGCTCACCGGAGCCCAACTCAGCAGCAGCCACAACAGAGGGTAGGACAGAGATGAGGAGGCAGAAGTCAGTGAGGCAGTTGCTGGAGAAGGATCCTGGCTCTCTATCCCCACGCAGAACATCTTTCCATTCTAGTGTGTGTTTCCACTATCCCAGGGTGTATTAGCTCTTCCTTGCAAAGCACACCTCCCCATATGCCTAGTGCCAGGTCAGGTACAATCTTTAGTTACCATTTGTGCTGGCGTGGAGTCTGCATTCTGTGTAATCAAAGAACAGCTTGGCATGGCTACTAACAAGGCAGAGGCCTGTCTCCAAAAGGTCTGCAAATGCTTGGGATTTTTTTATTACTGAGCATGTTTATTCTAACATTGGGAAAGGAAAAATGCACCCAATGGACATGAGCCTTTTAGACAATATGAATTGATTTCTTGTATATAATAATTTATTCCTTAATATGTGAAGAAAGTTTTAAAACATTAATACATTATCTTTGAAAAATTGGACTAAAGTGGAGCTGGCCGATTTATCTCTAAGTCCAGGTTGATCAGTTAATAAGAATTTCTTATCTCTTTGACAGAGCAAACCAGAATTGATTGTTTTTTATAAACTGTGGGTCAAGTCACCTGGGTCTAACTAGTGAACTACTGGCTTCTTTCCTCTATAAATGTGCTCTCCTGGTGCACACTACATTTTATCATTTATTGTAAATATTGATTGTCTTACATAGCTTCCAAACAGAATTGAAAAGTATTATTTAGAGTTCAAGTATGCTAATAGATCCTTGTTTCCACAATATCGGTATCTGGAAATGAGAATTTATTTTTACCCCCAAATCACCATCACTACCACCACCACTACCACCACCACCACCACCACCACCACCATCACCACCACCATCTGTAAAAGAAAACTTTTCTTCAATAGGAAACTATTTATTGGCTGTTTTACATGTGATGCTCATAGGAGTTGGCTTTATGAAAGAGAGAACTGTAGCCTAAGTTTTTTATTATTTAACGTATTGCTACTATGGAAGCTTTACACTAATTAATAAAATATAGCAAGTAGTTTTAAAATAGGTTATATATTTTTACTTAAGACCATACTTACATGAAGCAGTTAGTTACCTTCCACCTTAGGAGGTCTCTTGCTCTTTGGTGCATTAGCAGTTTGAGCATGCTCAGTAAGAATTTAAATCTATCCTCTGTTCCCTTGCCCAGTTGCCCACATTGACCTTTCTTCATTTAACAGTGTTGCATGTGCATGATCTAAGGACCCAAAGAAGTTGGTGCTGTTTTACAGAGATCCTGTGAAAGATGCAGCCTTCCCTTTTCAATTTCTCTATGTCTCTTTGTTATCCCTGAGATAGTCAAAAAGGCATAAAAATAAGTATATGAATTGATGTTGAATGCATAGTAGGCCTAAATTGAACAGCAGCCTGTTTCTCAACATTCCTGATGACTAACTTGATATATCTACTACCATTCTTAGAATATTGGACTATTTGTGCTAAATATAGTACTATGTTAATTAACACTTGATGAAATTCTAGAGAGTTTGGGATTAGGTTGGAACGTTTCTTTCAGTTCGTCAAAAGTCATATACTTTGAAAAAGGAACTAAAATAGTAGTTCTTTTAAAATAACCTCTTTTAGGGGCACCTGGGTGGCTCAGTCGGTTAGGCGTCCGACTTCGGCTCAGGTCATGATCTCATGGTTCTTGAGTTCGAGCCCCGTGTCGGGCTCTGTGCTGACAGCTAGCTCAGAACCTGGAGCCTGCTTCAGATTCTGTATCTCCCTCTTTCTCTGACACTCCCCTGCCTGCTCACACTGTCTCTCTCTCAGAAATAAATAAATTAAAAAAAATTTTTTTTAAATAGCCTCTTTTAATATTTACCATCACTGGTAAAATTCCAGTTTGTGAGGGTGGGGTATTACCACAAGGAAAGAGGAATAAGTTCCTTCAGTGTGTTTGAAATTTCTCAAAAATTATTTCGCCTTTTAATCTAGATTAATGATATCTTTACATCAGTCGTACAAGGAACTAAATTTATAAGAAAAGGCAGACATGAATGAAAAAGTTCATTAAAGATCCTTTTTGGTTATCTTTCCTGCATATCATGAGTATTATTAGAATTGTTAGCACCCAGAGAAAAAAATCACAAAGGAAAAAATTTTTTTATTTTTATTTTATTTTATTTTTCCCTTGAAGTTTTTTAAATAGAAGGAAGGAAATCACTAAAACCTATGTAAAGTTTTGGTAATTCCGAAATCTGCTGGAGCTTTTGTATAAGATCAATATTTGACCTTTTAAAAGGATTTTCTAGTATGATGGTTTTAAATCATTTTACAATTAAAATTATATTTGTTATGTGTTGAAATTGAAAAGAGACCAAAAGCGCATCACCTATCCTTATCCTGATTGTCAAGTAACATTTTATTCATGACTTTTAAAGTTGGATTTAGGGGCGCCTGGGTGGCTCAGTCGGTTCAGCATCTGATTTCGGCTCAGGTCATGATCTCACAGTTCATGAGTTCCAGCCCCATATCAGGCTCTGTGCTTTCAGTGCAGAGCCCACTTTGGGTCGTCTGTCCCCCCTCTCTGCCCCTTCCTTGCTTGTGTTCTCTCTCTCTCTCTCTCTCAGAAACAAATAAACATTAATAAAAAATTAAAGTTGGATTTAAAATTCTTACTAAACTGAGGACAGTGCCTATAATTAAAGTATGGTAGTGTTCCACTGTATTGAAACAGCATTTCTTAGTATATACAGTATCAGTACATTCTCTTGCATGGTGGCTTTTATGTTATCATCATCTCTTTTATGGCCATATTGCTTGGGCATCAGATCTGCATGAGGCAAGATTTAGACGCTACCACTAAGTCTCTCAGTCTCCTTTCCTCAATATATATAAATACATATCTGATCATACATTTTTGTTCACTCCAGTTTTGTATTACTGATATCAATTGTGAGCCAGTAAATACCTTTTCTTGGGCATTTTGGATTTCTTTATTCTAACTGTAAGTGAATTGTTAAGATTATACCATATGAATATAATTTAAAGTTTCATTTTGAGTTACATTATATACTGTTTTGAATAAGGGGTTGAGAGAAGTGGTGTCAGCTGCATTTTCTTATGGCTTTGCATGATGGTTAATTATTAAACTGCTGGATATAATAACATGCCTTTTGCTTTAAGGATAGCCTATTTGTTCTTCTTTTGAAGGAAGGAGATAACTAATCCGTATAAGAAAATATATCAAAGAAACTATTTTTATTTTTCCAGGTACTATGTTAAATAAAGATTGTGTTTAAATATTTTATGTGTATGTTACTTAGATAACCTGTATCTCAAAGTATTATTTGTTTCGTATTCTTTTCTAATACCTTAACTGTAATATTTATTTCTGTATGTGGATTCAGATTAAACCTTTCTTGCAGTCTGGCAAACATATGTAATGATGTAGCAAACTGATACCCGTTAAGAGATTGTTGATCATAATTTCAGTAAGAGAATTGGGCTTTCTGGAAAACCCAAATTAAATATATTAGATATGCTTCTCCCCTTCTAACAAAATCCCAAGGTAAGGGTTCTTTTGTTAACTACAGTTTCCGCACAAAATGTAATGGGACACATAATATCTTGTGATTATAACAATAATACATCTCAAGACTAAAAATCTAAATTATTACAGGTGTACATAATATAGAAAGTAAAACTCCTTCTTAGTTATCCCTGCTAGTTACTTTCTGATAATCAAATATTTCCTTCACATTAATTTGTCAAGAAAATATGGAAATCAGCGAGTAGATCTCCCCATAAGACAAAACATAATTATGAAGTTACTGGAAACAATGTACAGTTTTTTAGAGTTAGAAAATCTACTAGTTCCATGTTAAAAGCTTTAAAGCCCTATAGAAGCACTTAGCTGTTGAGTAAATGTAAAATCTTACTGCTCGTTTTAAAAAGGGTTTGCTTGTAGGAATAATGAGTTTGGCATTATTCTGGGTGACTGAAATTAGAAAGGGGACTCTTGTACAGTCTGTTTTATGGTGGGTTAAGGAAGATAGGAAGATATGAGGAAAAACTTTTGATTTTTTTAAACCAGATATCGTCACCTCAAATTGACAAGGCTAGTAACAAATGCATTTACCTAAAGTTGTTTTATATACCTAAATATTTGAGATACTAGATAGTCTTACAAAAGCTGGACTAATTAAAACTGAACAAACGCAGTGAATAGCATATTAGAATTCTGTGCAGACTAATGTTTCTTGCCCTAAATTATGTAGGGTAAGTGTTGATAACAGGGCCATTGCCAACCTATAGCAAACATTACCCAAGAGATAAGGTCAGTTGAGTTTTTATTCACAGTTCCTTCTTTTTTAACTTAGCTATTGCTGAGCCTGTCTGATTTGTTTTTTAGGTGCTGAGGGTGTAAATGGAGGAGAAGAGTCGGTAAACCTAAATGATGCAGATGAAGGATTTTCATCAGGGGCTTCCCTCAGCAGTCAGCCAATTGGGACCAAACCATCCTCCTCTTCTCAGAGGGGAAGCTTAAGGAAAGTAGCAGCTGGGCGTTCAGCTAAGGATAAAGAAACAGCCTCTGTCATCAAATCCAGTGAGAGCCCTCGAGATTCAGTCATTCGCAGGCAGTATGTACAACAACCAACTGATCTTAGTGTAGATTCAATCGAGCTGACACCGATGAAGAAACACCTGAGCCTGCCTGCTGGCCAGGTGGTGCCAAAAACCAATAGTTTAAGTCTAATCCGGACAGCCAGTGCTTCCTCAAGTAAATCATTTGACTATGTAAATGGCAGTCAAGCAAGTACCAGCATTGGGGTTGGCACTGAGGGAGTTACTAATCTAGCAGCTAACAATGTTAATCGATACTCAACTATCAGTCTACAGGAAGACCGGCTAGGTCAAGCTGGAGAAGGTAAAGAGCTCCTCAGCCCAGGAGCTCCCTTAACCAAGCAGTCTCGATCCCCAAGTTTCAATATGCAGCTAATATCCCAGGTGTAGTTCTGACACCCTCTCTCATCTTTTTGCTTACCTTTTAAACTGAACATTTCATTGTACATGAAGACACTTCATCCCACATTGTGAAAAAAAAATTGGTCATCGTAATCAGATTTGATTTAGTTTAGGTATCTTCATACTGTATTTTGTATGGAAACAGCAATAAGGTTTTCTTTTTTCCTCCTTCCTATATCTTCTCTTCACCTTATTCCTGTAAATGTGTTTGTGAAGCAGTATAAAATGTATGCATCTTCCATGCCTTCCTTTCTCTGTGGGTGATGTGCAATTCATCGTAGGCTGATCGGTCCCATTTCAACACTGTGAGACTGAGAATACGTTAGAGGAAATGGTGTATATGATCCCTATGAATTGATTCTTTGGCTTTTGTCTAAAAAAAAAAAAAAACGGGTTTGTTCTCATAATTTATAGAACTGTGGAGATTACTGGATCATATTTTTTTCTCTTTTAACCAGGAGTGCCTCAGAGATTCTGCTATGACTTTGGACTTCTCTGAGTCTGTGCAATCATTTTCTTGAGAAGCATGGGGAAAGGTGGTAGACTGCTGCACTTTTTCATTAAAATGTGGGTGGCTCTTTTCCCCCCATCTCCTTTATCTCGAGGACACAAATGTTCAGTTACTGAGGCATTTAAATCAAGTTATGGCCCCCTTCTTTGGAGGGCAGGGCTCAAAGTTGTTTGTGTAATTGATAATGCACTTTCTCAATGGCTCTATAGTCATTATTAACATGTCTTCCCTCCTCCCCACAAGGACATAGATCATTTCTGTCCTTAAAGTTTGAACAACTAACAAATCAGAGAATCCAAGGGGCATGTTCTATTTCCCAGGAATGATTGACACTTTGGTGCTGGGGTTTGTTGGGGGAGGGGGAGGGGCAGTTTTTGTTTAGCTTGTGTGGGACTACGTGTGTGAGGGGAAGTTTTGATAGGCTTTTTTCTTTTCCTTTGTGAGCTGATGATGACTGAAGTAGAACAAGTACGTCTTCAGGTAAAGAGAGGGATTTCTCAACCTGCTTTCTGTGATGTCAGACTATTGGAGAAGCCCTTTCAGCTGCTTTCTAGATGTACCTAAATTCAGTCAGATATTTTGGACTAAGAAACCTGAAGTCCTGATAGATCATATACTCCAAGGAAATACATCAGGGACAGATAATTGGCTGAAAACACTGATGCTTCAACGTGACACATTTTTATAGAGAACATTTCTACCAAGGGGTACTGACTTGATTTCTCCGACAAGGACCACACTGCCTTTGTGTTTAGTGTAATGCAATTTGTGTACCTTCTGATCATATATCTGCAAAACTTTCTCATTTTTATAAAACTTTGAAATCATGCCAGTAAGTTGGATGTTGAATGTATGTAAGTAGCATTTGGTAATTGTACTAAGAGGCTACAAAAAGCATTATTAGTGAAAAAAAATTTTTTTTAGTTCTGATTCGGTTGGGTAAGATTTCAGTATAAATTCTTTTGGATCTCAGGCTCTAATGCTTGATTGAAAAAGAAGAGAATATATTGGTTATTGAAAAAAATCAGTGTATTGTGACTTGAACTGGTATACATTATCTTCCACAAAACACATCAGAGCTATTAGTGCTTTGTACATTTAGACATTTTAATTTTACTGTGAAAGAGAAATATACTGAATTTATAGAAAGCAAGTATTCTCCTAATAAAGTTTAAAATTTTATCTCTACCAATTAAAATTATAATAGATTTTGATAAAATAACCAGAAAAAATGCCTCATTTTTTTCCACATCTGAAAATCTCCCCTCTCCTCTTACTTTATTTTAAGAGGGTTTGTTTTGTTTTCTAGGGGACTTTGTTAGAATCTTTATAAGAATGATGAGATGCTTGTTTGAATTGGTGGTCTGTAACATTTTTCAGCTCATATGAAAATGGAAACTTAGAACCTGAACTAGTACAACCAGTACTACTATTACAACATTGCCAAAGTCTGGGATAAAGTTAAAAGTTGGTAAATAGAAATGTACTCTGGTTGTGTGTGTGTCTGTCTGTCTGTGTGTGACAAAGACATATTTTAGATGTCCCTTCTTTTAACTTAACTAAGGGATGTCAGAAAAGTGAGTTTGAAAGCAGCCAAAATAAATGAGGTGTAAAGATCTGTAGCATACTGAGGAAAGCAAAGTTTCAGGTATGAAAGGAAAAAGCATTGTTCTTACCAAAGGGTAAGATCTTGGCCATCACTGGTGGAGGCTGACGGTTGTTTTGAATTCAACAAGTTGTACATTTATTGGCATCTAAATCTAGCATGGTTTGTTAAAGCACACACACACACACACATACACACACACACACACACACAATAATACCAAATTACAGCAAAAGCTCTAATACATATAAATCTCTCTTTTATTTTGTTAAAACTCTTCTACCTGAAAAAGTGGTTTTGAAAAACTTTCAACTTTGAGGATTTCATTTATCAGTATCATGTATGTACATACCCATTAATGTTTTATGACCCTGTAACATTTTTTCCATTCTTTTATGTGATTTGGCTTTAATGAAGAAACATTTCATTTAATTCGAACTGTGCATTCAGGGTCTTAGAACAGATTCCCTGTGCAAGATATAATTAAAATGGAATGAGTTAGTTTAATAAACCATAAGTCAAATTTTCTAAGAGATTTTTATATTCATTTGCATTATTTATTGGTATTGAATTCAAAACAGTTTTCAGATATACAATAGCTGTTACAAATATATACCAGCAATGTGCATACTTTATTCTTTTATACTTCTTACCTTTCATAAGAAAAAGTCCTACTCTCTATGGAAAGACTCATTACAGAGAAAATACTTGTTTTCTATAATAAAACAGTCTGATTGATGCCATTTATGCCAGATTAGATTAAGAAATATAAAGAAATACCTGAAAGTTTTGGGAACTCTCCTCTATGACATTTATTTTAGATTGTGTTAGTAGAAATTAAACTAAAATGTAAAGTGTAAAAAGCTAACTTAGAAGTTAAACTCTTAAGTATAAAAATATTTTGAGAAGCTGGAGGGGGGTAAATGGTTATAGTTTGAAGTACTAACCCCTACCACCACTTTTATGCTCCCAATTTATCTTCTGTACCTGTTTATTACAGTCAGAATTTTTGTGCTAGATGAGACCCTAGAAATAATCTTGCTAGTAGCCCAGTGCTCCCTCCCCAAATATCATCCTTAGAAAACTGAGAGTCAAAAAGGTTGTAACATGATTAAGTTCGCATAACTAAGAAGCAGAGCCAGAATATATCTCTTATCTCCCATCAAATGCATATTAACGCCCCACTGCCTCCCTATACTCCTATGGTAAATGTGGTATGTTATGTAACACTCTCCATTTCTGCAGTTTCTTTATAGTTCTGGTCTAGTAGTTGGTGAATACAGCACATTAAGAAAAGTATTAAATCCAGAAAATATGTAGAGTGATAAGCCTAGATGGGGAAGTGTTGGAAATGTAGGTATCTATACCACAGATGTAAGGATAGATACATTTTTTAAAATCCTAATTTATGCCTTACTATTTCTGCCCCATAACAGTTATATGCTGCCATTTTATAGTTGATTATATTTCTGGGGATTTATTTAAATGCAAAAATAAACCCAAAGAAATGGCTTTGATCAGTGTTTCTAGCTATTTTAAAATAATATTTGAATCAGCCAGCCAGCTCTCACAGTCACCTAGGTGGCAAACTAATTGTATTGCACAATGGAGTATTGCAAAGAAAAGACTAAATAAATTTGATTCCATTAATTTCTAATGTCAAAAAAATAGAACCTTACATGTGCTTTAGGATAGCTACAAGCAATATTTCCTTATATGATCGAAAAAGGTTTATAGTGTGAAGCTTATGATTCCATAATGGAATGGTGACCGTTAATGTCATTTAAAGTGTATATACCATATAAAGTGTCTTAAATGCGGTAGTCTCAGCTATATAAGCTCAATATTTCCAATGTATGTTCTCAAATTCCACATAGTAGCTTTAAATTATTTATTAGACACTGGAATACTGAGAATAACTTCTTTCAGATTTTTTTGTTTGCACTATTTTTGTGAATATTTTAATGAAGTGAGATGTTTCTGCCACCTCACTTTGTGAGGTTTGTATGGGTCCATTTTTGAATACTTTAGTTATCAACAATCAATTGTCTCATTTAATTCTCTGCATGTTCATTTATAAATTTAAAAATTAGTATCTGTCTTTAGGGGGTAGTATACATTTATATAAACACTGGCAAGGAGGAGCTCTCCATTTATGATCTTGGATTAGAAAGTAAGTTGTTTATTTGTTTTCAGTATTTCAGTTATGTATTTGTTTTTCAGGTTAAAAATGTTTAATAGGTCATGCCAGTGGTCAGAAAATCTGTAAGAATTTTAGAGCAACTTTTCTATACTATGGCTATGGTAAACAGTCTGAATATAAGACTTTTTATCTTTCAAGTTGAATGATTATTGTCATGTTTCAAACCACTAAGTTGGTTGAGACACTTACTTGTAATACTTTAATTTTTTTAAAGTGCTTTCTAGAAACAAGTTATTTGAAAACCAACTAGAAATTATTGATAAGTTAAATTCTCAAAAATTAGAATATTTGCCAGATTATAAGATGGAATGCAGTGTGAAATTGTAAACAGTGCTAATAAAATCATGAGTCACCAGATTGGTACAATTTTCCATTTCCAGGGTGGTCATATTGATAATATAAGGCAAAATATTAGTATTATCTGCATTATGTACCTAATGGGTATATCATATTGGCACTGAATATATATAGGAAATAATATTCATAAAGTCAACCAGTGTGCCCTTAAACTATATTAGGTTTTTGGCAGTGCCAGAAATTTTTATGGCGATCCTGCCATTAGAATTAGAGGAGTTTTCATCACCCAACCTTCCCCTACAGCCATAGACACATTCCTTCTAAACCTGACCACACAACCACAAACTTTTGGTAACTTCAATTGCTTCAGTATTTTTGTACTCTTAACTATTAGTCACATGAGAAATATACACAAGAGCAAACAGTTCAGAATAGAAGTTAGCAGAAAGCTGGGAATGATGTGAAATAACTGGCAGCACAGTACAGAAATGTAGGCTCTATGTTTTACTTTGGATTTTGAGAAAATGTTTACAAATTAAGGCACATTCAGATGTCTGATATTATGCATTAGGCTTATTATAGACTTTACCAAAAAATAATTAAATATAGCTTACAGTATATATGAGTCTTTGTGTATCTGGAAGTAGGATCAATAAGGAAATTCTTTTATTTTTAAAGAGAAATGAACTTAATTGGACAATCCACCCCCAACTGCAGAATTGATATCAAACTAATACTGATACAACAAATTTGCTGTATTTAAGTGTCAACAGC